GAGCTTCACAAGGATTATTAGTTGCCACAGAATTGTAGATGGGACTTATGGACAAGATACAACTAGTACGAACCACTGAACCGCCTAAATTCTACACATAACGCGAACGATACCCAGTCACTTAGACTATTGCTAGTGACCGGCACACACAGCGTCTTGATCGATAGAATTCTATCAGCACAAGACAAGCTTAACGGTTGTTCAGCGATTAATGCAGAACCCAACCACAACACATTTTGGTTTTTATCAACCAGAGTTAGTATCAATAGCCCCACACACTTAGAATATAACTCAAAGTTAACTATATTCTATACATGGTAAATGGGTGAATAAATAAATAGATAAATACATATTTCACAATAACAGAACTCAATGAATGAACCAACCAGTCATACCACATGACAAGAATAGATTTGATTCACAATCAATAATATAAATAAAAAAAAGAACCAGACGAAAACTCACAAAACAAACAGAGGGTGAGATAAAAAATCAAAACAAAAGATTAGTGTGGCATATGATTTATGCATAGATTTATTAAACATGAATAGATTTCCCTTCTTTTTTAATATTTACAACAAAAAATTGAACGATTTCTCTCGCGCGCGTTTGCTCGTTTGTTTATTTCTTTGGTAATGGTTTACTAGAACCAATATTAGCCAACGAATCTGCTTCTTCATTACCGTGTACACCTTGATGACCACGAACATGGTACTGAATTAGAATAGAGAAAAAACGAATTGGGAAACAAAGGGAGAAGCAATGAAATAACAGGAAATATTTGGGGTGCGTACTAGACATAAAGTGGGTATAAGTTTTCTAGTCACACACACACACATGCTCATTCCAATTCCCCATAAATTTATCATACAGGACAGTTCGATGAACAAGCGAAGTTTAACATCGTGAAAATAAATTGAAATAGAATATCGGTCGACATAGTGAAATGCAATGGTGTAACATGACCTAGTATTGATTACAAAAAACATAAAATTGTTGACTAAAAACCTAAAACGAGTTGATATAAGAAGACAAGATCACTACCCTGGAAGAATAGGCTTTTTCTATCTAAAATGAAAACTGTTCTTGACTGATAACCTAAATGACTTGACAATTGTTACATACGAAATCACACTTATAAACCATTTTACAGAAAAATTAGCATGTTAATGAAGGATTTGAAATATAAGGAATGATGAAATGGATTATTTATTATTCAGTTTAAACACATAAATATTGGTAGAAGGGGGCAGCAAATATATATGCGCCACACAAAACAATGAGAATGGGAAGAGAAAAACAAGAGGGTAAGGAGCGTAAAAAAAAGAACAATAACGACTACAGATTAGTGTATGGTAGGGAAATAATAATAATAATAATAATAATAATAATAATAATAATAATAATAATAATAGTAATAATAATAATAATAATAATAATAATAATGGGGGAAACAGAAGGGAACAACCAGAAGAAGTCTTTCAGTTAAGGAAGTTACAACCACTTTTTATGAAGAAAGTAAAAGAAGGTTACAGCAGGATCGCCACTGGCTTCTATTCTGAGCCATATCTGATAACGTTTCTAGCCACTGTGTCGCACAATCTCTCAGACCCCAACCAGGGAGTCGAGAAGGACCAACACAAGCCAGCCCTTTGCAGGTTTCTTTCATACCACGACACCATGTCATACACTGACCACCTCTCCGATTTTTCCAACCAGTCCCAGAGTCGGCAAATAATGCACGACGTGGAATTCTCTGGGACGACATCCGTAGAACATGTCCACGCCACCGAAGTCGGTGTTTCAAGATGGTGACATCGATTGTATTATCATTTCTGTGCCCGAACACACGATGCCGAACCTCTGCATTACTAACATGGTGTTGACACTGGATGCCGGCAATTCTTCGGAGACAACGATGATCAAACACAGAGAGTCGTCTAACATCCTCAACTCGGAGAGGCCAGGTGTCACAAGCATGGAGCAAAACTGCTCTCACCGACGCGTTGTAGATCTGAACTTTTACAGTCAGACTTACATCACGAAGGAGCCAAAGATGGCCCAGATTGGCATAAGCCGCTCTGGCTTTCACTATACGTGCATTGATCTCATCACTCACGCCACCACCAGCACTTATGCAGCTACCTAGATACACGAACTTCTCGACTACTTCTATCTGCTCACCATCCAGGGCGAATACAGGATTAGAATCCTGTCAGTCTTGTAGAAGTACTTTGCACTTCAAAGGTGCAAAGCACATACCATACCTACGGACACTGATTGCCAACTGATTAAGTGAGGATTGCATGGTTTGGGCATTATCGCACAGTAAGACAATATCATCCGCATACTCAAGGTCGAGAAGTCTTTCTCCAGGCAACAGATCCACACCACCATTACTTACATTCATCAGAGCTGTTTCCAGAAAGTCATCGATGGCAAAGTTGAGGAGGGATGGTGAGATTGGGCAACCCTGTCTAACCCCACCGCGTGAATGGAACAATGGAGAACAATGGACCAATCGAGTCATTCAGATTAGTGGCCAGATTGTAACTTGATTGATAGGATTTGATCAGCACTGAAAAGGACTTGAAATAAGTAACATCAGTCACTACTCAGTGGTCGAGCAATTGTAAATACTAAGTTCGTTTGTTCATAGCCATCTAGACTATGTCAAATAATGGAAAAGATGTGAATACGGAATGGGAATTTAAAACACAGTATTGTGTATACATGTTTTTCTTTCGGTTAACATATTTACGATAAAATATTTCGACGAGATTCTATTCGATACTTTCGAATGATATATTAGGAAATATTATGTGACTAAATTAACTCTACTGATCAATCAATCAATTAACAACAACATATAACTGGCTTTGCATGTAAGTAGTCAACATTGCTTAGATAATTAAAAGAAAAAAAACATTATCACATTGAACACTATAATTAGTTAACCAGATAAATGTGATTAATACATTTTTGTGGAGCGATGGTGATTTAGTTATTATAAATACCTCAGCTTCCAATCAATAACAAGTAAATTCTAATCTCATTTCACCTACTTTGATTTGAAAAGTCAAGTAGTAGCATCACTACTCTTCACACACTGTTGGCAGGATAAAGTTGTGACTACTATCAGGAGATTAACGATACTGTAATGTTTGATCAGGAAAATGAACGAAATATCAATATTTTAACTTATTCAGGTTTAATTATCGCTCGTTGTCTGTGCAGCATTATAAAATTATTCCCGGACCAATTGATTAGTCGTCATCGTGATGTCAATATTCTATCATTCTTAGATCAATTAGCTGATGATCCCAATCAAAATGTACGTATTGAAGCAGTTCAAGCAAGAAATTTATGGTTGATCTGATTATTTGATTAACTATTGAATTAATGATAAATTATGAAATCCTAATAAAATGCATATGGTTACTTGTTAAGTTACGTCAATGTATAGAGAAATATATTCATTTACATTTTTCAGATATTTAGTTTAGTAAAGTGTTTTCCTTAGAAAACCAACACCTACGAAGGTGTTACTTTCTCGCAATGGAAGGAAAAAATTACAAAAATCGGTCCTAGAAGCAGTACATTCCATCTTACTACACTGATCCCGACGTTGAAGGTAAGGCTTTTATAGTACCCGCAAGTGACCTGCCATTAAGCAATTATCCCTCGGGGTCTGTAGTCACTTTTGCAGGTCTCTAAAACCACTACTAATCTAATTTCTTTAAGAAGTATCCACTCATGGTGTGAGCAACTTGGAAATGAAAAACTTCCACATACAGTACTCGAGATCACCTTGTTAACTATCAAATCCAATCACCAATCATTGTAGAAATGCCGACTCCATAAGTTTATTGTGTCTTGAACTGCTACATCTTAAAATATTTGACTGTTAAGCAAAGTTTAAATTTCGAGAGAAGTACAGATTTCTTTAGGAGTACGAACGGCTAGATGATGAGTCCCAATAGGCATAGAACATAGTGTTTTCAACCGATTGTCTTAAGACACCAAATACATTAGTAAGTAAATCATCATCAACACAGAACTTGGCAAGTATGTACGTTAGCCTATAGCGGATTATCATCGAGATAATTCCTTAGGCTTCGCATATCAATCGTCCTGATAATCGTTATTAAATAAATTCCAATGGTGTGCGAATTTAAGAAGGCAACACGAAGAGCCGACCACAGTTTACCGTTGAATAGCACAGATCATTGAGCCACAAGTACATCAAGTGAATTCGAGCACAAGTGCTAATGCAGGCGAATTCTCAGGTGAATAAAGAATCGAATGAATTAATAAGATTCTAGCACATATATGTAGGAAAGCGAATGATGCATCGAGCAATTTAAGCAATTAACATTTAAGCTAGAAAGAGGGATATGTACGTAAGCTGTCACATGCGATTACGTATATACTTTCACACAGACGTGATAATAATAACAATACCAAGATATCAAACTGTTACTATTCGAATAGCACTATCTGTTATTTAAGTGAAGGACTTGGCAAAACTAAACGTAAACAAAGGTGTAACAGAGGCGCTATAAGCTCCAATGTCAATACCATGATGAGTATCTGAAATAGAAACTGGGTTAGAGGTGATCTTAACGACCTGGGAGCTTAACCTCAGAGCTCAAATAAAAACTACGTGAGTTTGGTCATATACAGCCTTTCTGTAAGCACTAAAAACATATTATCTGTTTTCAAATATCACATGAATAACTTTTACGAGATAAAAATCGATGGGATCAACTGGATAAATATAAACAATGGTAACACCAACAGTAGTACGATCCGACATATCAAATAGTTGATGCTGATTATTCCCACAAACACTGACAAAGATAGTAAACGATAAACGATACACAAGATTATCCATATTACTCAATAAATGATATAACGCTATAGTCTATAACACGATTACTTCATAATTATGTTAAGAGGAAGAAAGCGAATCCACACTAAAAAGCAAAACAATTTACCCAAATTATTTCAATTCCTGATTCAGCGATAACTCCAAGTAATCGTTTAACTGGTTCTTTTAATTTAGCATCTTCACCATTGGCTAATTTCCAAGCATTTCGCGCCCATCGTTGACCCCATTCTGTTGCACAGTTTTGAGCGAATTTACTATCAGTAACTATTCCCAAATGAGTAATACCACCAATGTGTGCCTGTTTAATTGCACATATCACCGCCTAATTTTAAAAAAGGCATTTTTTAATTATAAATTTTTATTTTGGTCAATGTGCACTAAATATATGAGTAATGCAACTCGATGAGCACTACGGATATAACTACAAACTAAGTTATGATCTAATAGCATTAATATTGTTACTACCTCTACTATTCTGCGATTTGTCCTGAAAGTTTAATTCGCTGTGCTAATGGAGTATGGCAACTTGAACCGATGTACATGGGTGCCAGGTTCCAGTTCCATGTTGCATTTGACTGACTGACTGAGGTTATGAACCAAAAATATAAGACAGCTAAAAGTCAGTCAGTTAGTCATAAGCAACGTAGAATTCGGCACATGTGGGGATCACTTCAAGTTGCTACACCGTATCACAAAAGCGGCATGAAACTGCCAAAACAAAAAGCAGAGTAGCAAAAGTAGTAGCATCAGTAATAGAAAAAAAACTAGATATACGCAATGTGATTCGAGAGGAATTAGTGGAATAAAATGTATAAAACAATTATAAAAGTCGATATGTAGTGTAAAGCAAAAAGTGAATGCATCTATCTTAGTGCGAACGTTCTCTGAGCTATGTCACCCAACATCTCCAACCACTAGATACAATAATCATGCGCATCCCAACCAGGTAGTTTGCCCCTAATAACACGACTCAGTTCAACAGTCAACGAATTCATGAACTGATGGTACATTTTTAGTTGACTACTTTTAGCATTAACTCTGCCTGAAGTCCCTCCGGGGACTACTGCCCGTTCCAAGCCCGGATAAAGGAAGAGGGTTGGGCATGGGGTTAGCGTCCCCATCCCGTAGAAAACTAAATCGCTAAAAAAACGCTAATCAGAAAAAATTATTCAAACCACTTAAACTCTGCCCCGGGAGTCAGAAGGTCTTCATTTAGAAGAACTATGACGCCTCATGATGAAAGCCGAATTCCTTCGGAAGCCACGAGGCCGATGCCCCTTCTGACAACCAGAGCAACCATTTATTTAGGTACATGGAATGTTCGTACAATGTGGGACACCGCGAGAGCATTCCAAATTGCTTCAGAAATGAGAAGATACAACCTATAGGTAGTTGGGATCAGTGAAACACATTGGACGCAAGTTGGACAACAACGACTAATTTCAGGAGAACTCCTGTTATACTCCGGCCATGAAGAAGAAAATGCACCACATACACAAGGAGTTGCATTGATGCTGTCCAAACAAGCACAAAAGGCACTTATAGGATGGGAATCTCATGGACCAAGGATCATCAAAACCTTCTTCAAAACAAAGAAAGAGGGCATTTCAATGAACATCATCCAATGTTATGTGCCTGCCAACGATTACAATGAAGACGCTAAAGATCAACTCTACAATAGGCTGCAGTCAATCGTAGAGAAGTGACCAACAAAGGACCTGACCATTCTGATGAGAGATTTCAATGCCAAGGTTGAAACGGACAACACTGGATATGAAGACATCATGGGACGACACGGACTGGGAGAAAGGAACGAAAATGGTGAGAGATTTGCAAATCTATGTGCCTTCAATAAGCTGGTCATAGGCAGCACCATATTCCCACATAAACGCATACACAAAACCACATGGACTTCACCGGATCACACCACGCACAACCAAATCGACCATATTTGGATCAACAAAACGTTCAGGAGGACTATAGAGGACGTGAGAACCAAGAGAGGAGCTGATATAGCATCAGATCATCACTTGCTGGTCGCCAAGATGAAATTGAAACTCAAGAAGCACTGGACAACAGGGCAGACAGTATCACAAAAGTTCAATACGGCCTTTCTCCAGGATACTAACGAACTCAACAAATTCAAGATAGTCCTCAGCAACAAGTTCCAGGCCTTTCATGATCTACTCATTGGAGAAGGAACTACTGTGGAGAGCAACTGGAAGGGGATAAAAGAGGCAATCACTTCAACATGTCATGAGGTTCTGGGTTACAAGAAGCACCACCACAAGGAATGGATCACTGTTGATACACTGGATAAGATTCAAGAAAGGAGGAACAAGAAGGCAGCAATCAATACCAGTCGAACAAGAGCAGAAAAAGCCAAGGCACAAGCTGAATACACAGAAGTAAACAAACAAGTGAAGAGGAGCATCAGAACCGACAAACGTAAATATGTGGAAGATTTAGCAACGACGGCGGAAAAGGCTGCAAGAGAAGGAAACATGAGACAACTGTATGACACGACAAAGAAACTCTCTGGAAATCGCCGCAAACCAGAACGACCAGTGAAAAGCAAGGAAGGCAAGGTAATCACCAACATTGAAGAGCAACAAAACAGGTGGGTAGAACACTTCAAAGAACTCTTGAATCGACCAGTTCCAATGAACCCACCCAACATCGAAGCAGCACACACGGACCTGCCAATCAATGTTGGCTCACCAACAATTGAAGAAATCAGCATGGCCATCAGACAAATCAAGAGTGGCAAAGCAGCAGTACCAGACAACATTCCAGCAGAAGCACTGAAAGCAGACGTAGCGGTAACTGCAAAGATACCCCACATTCTCCTCAATAAGATTTGGGATGAGGAACAAGTACCAAAAGACTGGAAAGAAGGACACCTCATCAAGATACTAAAGTAAGGTGATCTCAGCAAGTGTGATAACTACAGGGGTATCACTCTTCTCTCAATACCAGGAAAAGTTTTCAACAGGGTATTGTTAAACAGGATGAAGGAGTCCGTAGACGCCCAAATTTGAAACCAACAGGCAGGATTCCGTAACGATCGATCGTGTACAGACCAAATCGCAACTCTACGAATCATTGTGGAACAATCAATTGAATGGAATTCATCACTCTACATCAACTTCATTGACTACGAAAAGGCATTTGATAGCGTGGACAGAACAACACCATGGAAACTTCTTCGACACTACGGCGTGCCTCAGAAGATAGTTAATATCATACAGAAATCATATGATGGATTACACTGCAAAAATTGTGCATGGAGGACAGTTGACAAAGTCGTTCGAAGTGAAGACCGGTGTTAGGCAAGGTTGCTTACTCTCACCCTTTCTCTTTCTCCTAGTGATCAACTGGATCATGAAGACGTCAACATCTGAAAGGAAACACGGGATACAATGGACATCTAGGATGCAGTTAGACGATCTAGACTTCGCAGATGATCTGGCCCTTCTATCCCAAACGCAATAACAAATGCAGGAGAAGACGAACAGTGTAGCAGCAGCCTCAGCAGCAGTAGGTCTCAATATACACAAAGGGAAAAGCAGGATTCTCCGATACAACACTGCATGCACCAATCCAATCACAATTGACGGAGAAGATTTGGAAGATGTAAAAACCTTTACATATCTGGCCAGCATCATTGATGAACACGATGGATCTGATGCAGATGTGAAGGCGCGGATCGGCAAAGCAAGAGCAGCAAATTTACAACTGAAGAACATCTGGAGTTCAAAGCAACTGTCAACCAACACCAAGGTCAGGATTTTCAATACAAATGTCAAGACAGTTCTACTGTATGGGGCAGATACCTGGAGAACTACAAAAGCCATCATCCAGAAAATACAGGTGTTTATTAACAGTTGTCTACTTAAAATACTTCAGATCCGTTGGCCGGACACTATTAACAACAACGTACTGTGGGAGAGAATAAACCAGATCCCAGCGGAGCAAGAAATTAGGAAGAAGCGCTGGAAGTGGATAGGACACACATTGAGGAAGGCACCGAACTGCGTCACAAGACAAGCCCTCACATGGAATCCTGAAGGTCAAAGGAAAAGAGGAAGACCAAAGAACACATAACGCCGAGAATTGGAGATAGACATGAGAAAAATGAACAAGAATTGGATGGAACTAGAAAAGAAGGCCCAGGACAGAGTGGGTTGGAGAATGCTGGTCGGCGGCCTATGCTCCATTGGGAGTAACAGGCGTAAGTAAGTAAGTAACCTTTAGCATTCTTCAAACCTAACCCTACACCACTCACTATCATGAGTCGAAGTAGGTAGTGATTGTGCATGTGTTTCAATCACCTCAGTTGATGAAAATTCACTACCTCACCAGTCGATTTTAAATGCCGTACTTAAACATGAAGTTTCGCACTGATATTGTTCAGAAGAGCTATGAAAGCTCCACAATCAACCTGAGCAACAAATCGACCCAATTATTTCATTTTCCATCTTCACCTAGTGCTCTGCGTCTAATCCCAGTATGGCTCGTTCGATGGCCTTAATATATGTGAGGGCATTTATCACAGAATACTAATAACCCCTACTTCTAAAAGCTATACAACAGAACGGAGAGAACTGCTGCACAGTACACTCATCCTTTATTCATTAGATAAGTCAGTCAGTCAGTAACAACGCAGAACTTCGTACGTACGTACATCAGTTCGAGTTGCCACACCACATTAGCACACAGATGCAGTGGTCGATTCAAATCCCATAGTCGTAGAGGTAGTAAAAGTATAAGCAGCAATCGGAAACATTAGGGTTTGAAGGTGTTATTCAAGGAGTATAGTCCAGTGAAATAAATTTAAGAAGAGAAAACAGGACATGAAGAATTCACAAGATTAGAATTTGGGAGAACACAAGGAGTGGATGCACCTGCATCCATAGTAAACGATTTTGAATTATGTCATTCAACATCTCTAACCATCGGTTGCTATCATCTCGTTGTCCCCAACCAGGTAGTCTACACCTACCAACATGACTCAGTCTACTTGTCAGTGACTTCATGTACTTGTGCCATGTTTTGGTCTGGCCGCCCCTAGCTTTCTTCCAACCTACTCCTATACCACTAAACATCGCAAGTCGAGGTAGTCGGTGGTTGGGCATACGTAACACGTGTCCCAGCCATCTCAACTGATGATGTTTCAAGTCACGCGGACCCCAACCAAGTAGTCTGCATCTACCAACATGGCTCAGACTGGAAGTTAGTGATTTCAAGCACTGATGCCACGTTTTGGTTTGGCCGCCCCCGCGATTGACGAAGTGGTGTATTATTTGAGGTATGTTGAGGACACCTTCATCGTCTGTAATAATCAACAACATGCAACAAATCTGTGGAAACTTTTCAATGAAGCCCATAAAAATATCTAGTTTACTATGAAACATAAAAATGAAAACAAGTTCCATTTTCTCGATATCGCAATAAAACGAAGGAAGGACGGCACAGTTCAACGTCCAGTTTATAGGAAAGACACATGGAATGAGATTTATCTCTATTTCAATAGCTTTTGTCCAATCAGTTACAAAAAGGCACTTGTTAAAACACTATTACACAGAACAAAAAGTATATCTTCTGCCGATACGCTAGAATAGGAAAGAATAAATGTTAATAAGTGTTTAACAAACAACGGATACCCCTGAAATTCATTGAGAAATATACAAAACATGAAGATAAAAGACCTAAAGAAACTACAGTAAACAAAAAAACCTGTTTTTATTCAACTTCAATTCAAAGGTGATGATGTGACAGGGTCAATCATGTGAGGCTAAAAACTGCATCGACAAGAACTTATCCGGCAGCTAAACTGATTGTCCTATCCAAAACAACATGTTCTTTGACACAAAGGTCGATAGGTATCCCTTTCATATTACCACCAACTATGTATACAAAATCACATGTATCTTCCAAAGCAGTTACATTGGTACAACAGGAAGGAGAGTCTACGTCCGATTCAAAGAACATATTCTGAAAAATCCGAGGTCAAATGAATTAGAAGCATTCAGCAGTGCAATCTCAAGACATCTTGAAACATGACATCAGGTCGATACACTGAAGCCCTTCAAGGTGATTAATAAACAATCAAACTCCAATCTTCCAAAATCTGCCGAAGTGATATCGATCAAACGTCTAAAACCAGATCTACTTATCCAAAAAGAAGTAAAAAATATTTCTTTGCCCTGGTAACGTTACATCCTTTTTACTGAGTCATTCATTATTTCAACTCTTTCTGAAATTTCATTATATCATTGTCGTTTTTCCTCAATTCATATCTTTCTTTATTATCACATAATTCTGCATCACATTTCAATCATGGTTCAAGAGATATCAAGAAATTTTCCAAAATGATTTTACACATCATGGTAACACTTCGAAGGTGAGAAATCTACTTCAGAAACTTGGAGTAACTGAACATAAAAGATATTCAAATCTTATCTTGCCAAAAAAACCCAACATTTTTCTTTTGATCCTAATGTACAAAAATTAACAGAGATTTTCACTACTCAGACTTCTTTATTTAACTTGCAATATAATTTTCTTAGAATTGATAAAAGACCTGAAGAAGAATTTGTTTCATATGCTACATTTGTTAGTAACCAATGCAAAACTTTTAAATTGAGCTTATTTCCAGAGGAACAATTTAGGTGTCTAACTTTTGTATGCAACTACACCTGTAGCTCTTCTAGGGTTGCTGTAGTTCCCGGGAGGATTAATCAAATGGCTACGGAAATCAGGAGATACAACTCAACGGTGCTCGGAATCAGCGGAACCCATTGGACCCAAACTGAACAGAAAAAATTGGATTCAGGAGAGATGCTGTTGTACTCTGGTCATGAAGAAGTAAGTACTTCGCACACGCAGTGAGTTGAACTGATGCTGTCCAAAGAAGCACGAAAAACGCTTAAAAGGTGGGAGTTTGATGGATCCGGGATCATCAAAGCATTTTTCAAAATAAAGAAGAAGGGAATCACAATCAATACACAAAAGTAAACAAGCAAGTTAAGAAGGGCATTAGAGCCGACGAACGGAAATATGTGCAAGACCTAGCAATGACAGAGGGGAAGAGCTACAAGAGAAGGAAATATGAGACAACCATATGATACAACGAAAAAACTGTCAGGGAAATATGGTAAAGCAGAGAGACCGGTCAAGGACAAAGAAGGCATGCCAATCACTCAGATTCAGGAACAGAGGAACAGATGGGTAGAACACTTTGAAGAACTCTTGAAAAGATCAGTCTCACTGAACTCACCAGACATCGAAGCAAAATACACAGACCTTCCCATAGATGTCATTCCACAACGGTCGAGGAAATCAACATGGCCATCAGACAAATCAAGAGTGGGGAAACAGCACGCTCTGAAAATCTACCACCTGAAGCATCGAAGTCAGGCATAGAGGTAACTGCAAACATGCTCCGCATTCTATTCATAAAGATTTGGGAGGAAGAACAAGTGACAACAGACTGAAAAGAAGGAAATCTCATCGAGATACCAAAGAAAGCGGATCTCAGCAAGTGTTAGAAACACAGAGGCTTCACACTACTATCGGTACCAGGAAACGTTTTCGACAGAGTGGAAGATACAGTAGACGTCCAACTTCAAGATCAACAGGCTGGATTCCGTAAGAATCGATCGTGCACAGACCAGGTTGCGACACTACGGATCGTCGTTCAACAATCGATTGAATGGAATTCGTCACTATACATCAACTTCTTTTACTATGAGAAGACGTTTGACGCCCTGAAGCTCAAGGTCACATCTTTTATTACATACCAGTATTAACAATAAGCTAGTTACAGAAAACTTTTTAAATAAATGTGGTCGATATTTAGAAGCAATTATTATCAAAATAAAAGTTTACCTCAATTTCTGCTCTATTATTTGTTTGCTCTCCTTCCAACCGCTCAGAGACATTCCTTGGAATGATAAGAGCCAATTCGATGCTTACCATGGATGATTGGGCCCCCAGTAAACACCATAACCAGCACGACGATCATCGTGGGCACCGTTACATGAACCATCAGTATAGACCATCACACGTCGCGGGCATGATGCATCTGGTTAAGAGACAGAGAGGAAAACGATATCAATCGTGAAACGACAAATAGGTTTAATTACTTAACAATGTCAGTAAGTTGATATAGATTCCCATTAACTTGCTTACTACACGTGGTGAGGTGTTGTTTACGAAAATGAGAGAACGAAAAGCGAATGTCCGGCGCTTTAAACGGATTCCAAACCAATGGTGCACATGAGCTCCAGTATCCTGAAGGAACAAATGGCGTATGAACCATTTGTTGGTTACCGGCTACCATGGGACTGCATCTCCTTACGATGCCCCACTGCCTTGTGGATCAGACATTTAGATCGAAGGCTCGGGGTATGGCCCTCTAAGAAAACCACCTGCTTCGGTTTGGGCACCCGGACAGTACCACAGCCCTCACACAAATCAAATGAGATTTGTTTGGCGCGTATGTATTTGGTGCCTTCTTGTACCAATATCTATGTGTTAAAATAAATAAATAAATAAGTACCATGTTTAAGAAAATAATAACATTATGGTGAGTTAGGTAAGATTATACCAGACTATTACTGGCTGGCTTTCTAGATGCATCAAGTCAGGTTAATTGAGTAGAGATATTTTTCAAAGATATAACCATAACAGAAAGACGGACTGCACAGATAAGCAAGAAGACATGGAGAATGCGAAATCAACTATAAGAAAACCCAGTAACTGAAAACAATACTAACAGAAACACGGAACCGCCAATAAGAGAAAATGTACACAAAATCGCGGAATAAGAATAGAATAACAGCGTATTGAATGTTTGAAGTATGAAGGAAAATAGTTCTGCAACCGACTAAACAGCGCATGACTATATGATAGCGCTGTTTTAATTTAACACCCATTATATTTTTCATGGTTCGTCCCCTAAGTAAGTATATATAACCACTCTTAATCGACTGGAGCTAACTTATTACATAATGTCTTGACGGCTACATTACGGAATACGACAGGGGTGTAGCAGTTAATATAATATCAAACCGTTGAGGTTAACAATGGAGTCAAATAATACTAATAGATTTCCACATACGCCGAAACTTGAGATGACACACGAACCTATTGTTGGTCACCGACTACCATAGGACCACATCTCGTAACGCTGCTCCATCGCTTTGAGGATTAGACTTCTAGGTTAAAAGCTCGGGTAGTGACCCTCTAGGAAAACCACCTGTGATCTTGAGTGCGGTTAGAGGTATGAAGGTGGTTATCACTCCCCGGTTGCCCACACTGTGGAACGGTTCTTCTAGAGGTACCTGAAAAGCGAGTTCGATTAGAGATGGTCTTAGTAACCTAAGTGTGACCGCAGTGCCCAACGGACAACTGCTTGAGGCCGGTTACACACGACCTATTCGAGTAGTTTTAGTGTTAGCTCCGTACTTGTAGGGACCTCACCGCTGGAGATGAAAATCCATGGGGTAAGGTGAGGTGTGCGCTTTTAGGATCAACCTTTTCCAACCCTACCCTTCCTTGTGGGAAGGCAACATCACTGTTATACTGGCTGTTTGAAGGAAACATCATGCTACCATCATGCCTCTGTACAGGTAGCAGTATAACTTCGCCCTTGAACCTTGGGTTTGCTGCTTTCAGTCTTGTCGTTCTTCAACCGGCCTGTCTGGTAAGGTAGGGCCTTGAGGAACAATTATTCCAGCCAGTATAGCTCGATTGGTTCATTACGATAGGCAAGCCCAACCACCACGTCAAGGTAGCAGCAACAGTCGGGAGAAAAACCATTGGCTTCGATTTGGGCATCCGGGCAGTACCCCACTCCAGACACAAATGCAATGACTTTGGAAGCGCATACATATTTTGGTGCCTCTTTGTATCGATGTTCATTCGTTTGAATAACAATAAGAACAAACTATGATTAACCAAAAGTTTTCGTAACAATTTCCGGTTTTGAATGTTGTGCGATTCTCCAGCATGGTTGAGTATGTCAAATTATTAACTGATTTTGTGTCTGCAGATAACTACAATTTTTCGATCCAACAACTTAAGAAGCTATATTGTTGTGTCTAGTTATGAACATTACAGCCCTACTTTATTCCACGCTGAAAGATTTACTATTGACAGCAGAACAACAGAACTAAAACTAATATTCTACCAACTGAAGCTACAAAATCCGACTCACAAAGATCAGAACTGCACTACGTCTACTTTAATGAGAGCAATGTAGTAAATACAGAGGGTCAATCTACTATATAAGAACGTACATCGTCAGGAAGATACGAAGGAATTCCAACCTTAATCTTTGGTATAAATTGTACTAACCACAAAACACATGCAAATTTAAGTACTGAACCCAATCCACATACTACCTGGGGCTAATAACACCAATTAATCTCCAAATCAAAGCAGGTGATGAGGTTGAGTTTAAGATCATTTAACATTTAGTTTGAGATTTTGTATCATTATAATGGCGCTAGCGTGTTATAACATCTTACTACATTTACTAGTCTTCTAGACGAAGAACTAGGCCCAAATAGAAAGTCAATGAACCGTCTGTTCATTGTGTGCTTTGGTCGAAATGATGTACTTAAGGTTCTTAGTACCTCAGACATGGAAAAAACAACAGGACCGGATGAGCTACAACCCAAAATCCTCAGACAAATTGCACAATATATTGCAGCCTCACTAACTGTGATATTCAATATGTCACTTGGCCAAGGTGTGTTACCTACGAACTGGAAGGATGCAATCGTCACTCAAATACATAAAACAAGACCAAGACAACTTCTATCGAACTACAGATCTGTCAGCCTCACCACTGTCGTAGTTAATGGGAAGAATAGTTAAAAATACCATAATGACATTCGTGAAAACCAACAACTTGTTAAACAGCGAACAACATGGTTTCAGGAAAGGTTTATCTTGCACAACAAACCTCCTTATAGCAAGGGAGCGATCGATAAAGGTTCTAGACAATGGAAAATCAGTGGATGTTATCTATATAGACTTCAGCAAAGCATTTTATAAGGTGCCAACAGATAGACTGCTCTTGAAGCTGGAAAACTTTTGCATTGTCGGACCTCTCCTATATTGGATTAAGGATTTCCTGGTAGGTCGTAGACAGAAAGTAAGAGTGAATCCCAAGTGCTCCAACTGTAGACCAGTACTTAGTGGAATACTGGAAGTTTCTGTCCCAGATCCTTTACTATTCATACTGTATGTAAATGACGCCCCAAGTATAGTTGAGTCCCCAATGTTACTATACGCTGATGATGTAAAAATCTGGCGAGAAATAACAGGTGACGCCGATGCATGCGCACTTCAGGCAGACTTAGATATTGTGACTACCTGGTCTAAAGAGTGGATGGTGCCTATCAACACAGCAAAGTATGTCTACATGCACTTTCGGGATACAAAGGTAAATAGGTACAGCATAGGAGAAGTGCCTGTACCGGTGGTTCGGTCTCACAAGGATCTTGAAGTGACAGTGAGTCATGATCTTAGGATCACAGGCCACTGCTGCGAGATTGCAGCTAAGGGGTTTAGAACCCTATGGGCTTTAAGATGGGCATTCACCAAGTTAGATACTGCCATGTTCACTACAGTATACAAAACCCTAGTGAAAACTAAGCTTCAAAACTGCGTTCAGGCTGCAAGCCTCTGTTTAAAAGGTGACTCGGATATCCCGGAAAAAGTATAGAGGGTAACTACCCGTGCGATTCCGGAACTCCGGGGTTTACCATACAAAGAACGGCTTGAAAAGTTAGACCACTTTACTCTTTCTTATCTTCGTTTTCTTCCCACTAGATTGGGACATCTAAGATGATATAGCAGGCGAGTAGAAAAGTCAAGAACGAACAAAATACCCGTGGCATACAGGTTTTGACGCCAAGTCATCAATTCTTGGAACCTGTTACGCGAAGCAGTGGTATCCGCACCTTCAATCGACCCATTCAAGAGGAGACTAGGCACTCATAGAAGCATACTAGAAAAGGAATAACATAGGCCGTAGGCTATCTGTCCTTAATATACAAATCTGAATCGGAACCTATATATCGCTGAGGCCGTCACCAAACCAATCCGACGAACGCAGCGCGGCCCCGTTGTCCCCACAGAGCACCCGAAGACAGAAAAACACTATCTGGGCAATTAGTATCGGCTTAACTAGTAAGTTCAAGACTTAGGCTTTCATAGTTATGTTCACATGAAGGATTAACATAGGTCAAACGATATATTATCTTCACTTTATTCGTACATTTTTTTACAAAGCCCGGACAACAACTAACCATTTAAGTATATTTCGGCATTCACTATTTAGTGTTACTACTACTGAACCGTTAGTTTATAAAATCCTTGAAATACATGGCTTTTCGTTGTCTAGATAAATCGACGCACGAACATTCTTCTCAGCCTGGAATTTCAAGTCGCATATATTAGAGTAACAACCAGGAATCATTAACAGGTATCACTATTTAATACTATTGATATCTAATGGTTGGGACTCCAAGATATGAGGAACTAGTTTTGACGTTCTTAAAATCAGCACTTATTATGCTTTTAAATACACAAGATATATAAAGAGTTTACAAATCAATTTTCCAGTGGTAGATACATAAGGATTAAGATCCATGTGAGAATCGGTCCATCTTGAAAGAATGGATGAAGCATTAACAAAATACACGTAGTCTTGGGGATAGATGTGACAGATTAAAAGCTGAAATATTAGCATGCATTGGATATCTAAATCTCTGTTGGCCTAAATACTAATAAAAGATTACCATGATAAAATGTCAGAGTGCTTGGAACATGGGTGCTACTGATGTAATGCTCTTCAGGAGATAGCTTGGTCGGTAATCGATCTTCTGTCTCAATATGTAGCAATTAAAAGCCATACCTCGACCATCCAGGTCGTCATTCATGCTTCCAATCCTTCGCTTTTTCGAGAGTACGGTTCCGACCTCATGTTCACCTTCTAGTAATTTTTTTAACGGGGAGCAACTGAAACTACCAATAAACTTTATAGCTTCATCGTAGGAAGTAAATTTCTTAAAGCAAGCTCCAGAGTAGCCCTTTACAAGGTCTTTGCACTCAGACCCAATTACTTCTTAGTTAAAAACTTAATGGGACTCACCAACTCGAGAAGACGCCGATGCCACGACCGACTCGAACACCGTAAAAAGGCATTTTACAGGTCGCATACGCCTTGGGCGCCTAAAACAACCTAAATGGTTCAAATGGTAAGGTCTTTTCAATATCCAATATCCTTGTAGAGGCTCGAATAAGCCAATCGATTCCTTTGAATTCATTCCTTATTGTTTCAGTATAACTCAGAATCTTCGGTAGTGTCAAATGGACGGCTGTCTAGCTATTTGACTCTCCTAATTCTAGTCATTTCGGTAGCTATTCGAGGGTTTATATATATGGTAGTCTCAATGGGTGCGCTTGTCTCGAAACAGCAGAATTTATGGGTACAAGTAGTCATCAAATTACCAGACAGGAGGCCGGTTGCTGACAGTGCGAAAAACAATAAAGATGAAATTCGATTGCTAGGCGAAGACCACTGTTTCGAAAAGCAAACAAATAAGATTTTTAGTTGGTAATGCAGACAATATGGAAGACTAAATGGAATAGGTTAATCCACTTGTTTTTCAAGTCTCCTCTTCAAGCTATACACTTAGGCGGTTGCGGTCACTTAGGGTGGAAAAGAATTTTAAATGGGGGTGTAGCGGTAAATAAATCCCCAAAACAAATAGCTCTGTAAGTTTTCGACATTGGATGCTGACCAGATTAGTTTTAGTGGACTCATCTAGCTGAAGGCGCTCGGTCGTGCGTCCGCACCAGATCACGTGTGGGAACGCCGAGCTCAACTGCTACTGCAATCGCTAGCCAGATTAGATCAGATAATTCTGATATATTGGCAATCGTCAAATACAATTTCTGATCTCGATTCTGTCCTTTGATTTCCCTTGGTGGGTATGAATTATATTAGGTGTTGCTGGTAAAGACGTTGTCAAACACTGAATACCTGTGCCATCTTCATTGGTGAGCCCGACGTGATCTGGTACACCAAATCGTAAACTGTGAGTCTGTTCCATTTTGGGATTCTATATATTATTGCTTTACCTTAATCTTTTATACATTGTGATATTTTTCCCCGCGTTTTTAGATATCTATATATTTTTCACTCGTGTATTCTTGTACTTAATTTTCCCCTATGACTGAACAGACTCACAAGGTATTTAACATTAAGACTATGTCCCCACCCTCGTTTCAACTCATGCCCTTCTGGCCCGACAATATCAAAGCCTGGTTCTGCTACGCAGCAGCCGACTTCCACGAGCACGGCGTGAACGACACACGTGCACAATTCCTTGCAGTAGTCAAGTCACTACCGCGGGAAATCGACAGGTACGTAACACCTAGTATGTTTACTAGTGATGTTTCTGAAACTTACGAAACACTGAAACGTTCTATCCTTAAGCGAGGAGACCTAACCGATCGACAAAGGTTAGACCAACTCTTTAATCACATCGACCTGCAACACAGTTCTGCGACGGACATGTTGCAAAGGATGAGAGAGGTTATAGACATAAGAACTTTCGACGATGACCTACTCAAACAACATTTCTGGTCTAAACTTCCCCATCAGGTGCAAGCGGTTCTGGTCTCGTTTCAGAACAACGCCTAAAACGAACTGGCTGCATCTGCCGATCGTATCTTAGAAATTACGAAATGTTCTACTACCGAGGTTTTTTCAGTCAAAGAAAAGCCTCAAACGTCTCAGAATGACATAACAGAGTTGCGTCATACACTCACGCGTTATCTTAATCTTCGTAACGACCGTAAGCGATCACACATCCCACGTAGAAGCACTTCACGTAAGCGATCTGTCTCTAGACCACGAGAGACGGATAACCCCGGCTGGTGCTGGTATCATAACCAGTATAGAAAGTCTTTCAGAAACTGCAGAAAACCCTGCAATTTTCCCATCTCAAAACCGACTGACTCGAAAAGCAACTCGGAAAACCCACAAGCCGGCACGCGTTAACGCAACCGTAGCCGGCGAACATAGCCGTCTGTTATACGTCACAGATGTGATAACGAGACTTCGCTACCTCGTCGAAACTGGCGCAGAAGTTAACGTTTCCCCGCGAATTCCAACGACCGGCTTCACGAATTGGCTTTAAACTTACAGGCGGCAAACGGAAAGCCTATCGCTATGGCAAAAGGTACGTTTACCTGAACGTGGGTTCGCGCAAACCCATTCACTGGATCTTCTTTGTTGCAGATGTTTCTATGCTAATGATTGGTATGGACCTTCTACAACACCATAATCTAATCATCGATACGCGCAAACGGAGGCTAGTAGACGGAAACACTAAATTATCTGTTTGCGTAACTTCTTTTTCTGGTTGCGGATTATCCCCAGTCGCAATTAAGTACACGATAGACCGACTTTATCAACCACCACTCGACAAGTATCCTGGGATACAACAAACGCAATCGAAACTACCGTGTGTAACCAGCAACGTTACACATCACATCACGACTATAGGACCACCTGTATTCTCTAAAGCACGATGACTAGCCCCCGAAAAGCTAAGGTTGGCGAAAAACGAATTCGACCACATGATAGACTTAGGAATCATACAACCGTCAAATAGCCCATATGCATCTCCGTTGCACATGGTCCCTAAAAAGGATAGCAACGATTGGCGTCCAACTGATGACTATCGGCGATTGAATGCAAAAACTATTCCCGATCGTTGCCCGTTGCCTCACATTCACGATTTGACAGCTACCTTGAAAGATACAACTGTCTTTTCGAAAATCGACTTGGTTAAAGCGTATAACCAAATCCCTATGGCCACAGGCGAAATACCGAAAACCTCCATCATTACTCCCTTCGGACTCTATGAATTTTTGCGAATGCCTTTCGGTCTAAGGAACGCTGCTCAAACATTCCAAAGATTCATGGACGACGTTTTTCGAGGTCTCAACTTCGTACATGCGTATATTGACGACTGCCTAATCACAAGTTCGGACAGAGAATCACATCTCAAGCATCTGGATCTAGTTTTCGAACGACTACAGAAACATGGCATTACTTTAAACGTTCAGAAATGCCAAAACTGAGCTGACTCATTAGACTTCCTAGGACACACTATAGATGCTCAAGGCATTCGACCCCTTAGGACCAAAGTGGCGGCAATACTGGATTGCCCAGAACCGACCACGATCAAGCAGCTACGAACGTTTAACGGCCTTGTAAGTTTCTATAGACGATTCATACCGAAATGCGCGTTACTCATGAAACCTCTTACCGACCAACTTCGTGGAAATGCGAAATCCATTAATTTGGTCGACACCGCACGAAAAGCATTGTCCACAATTGAGGAACTCATCGCTAAAGCAACAATGCTTGCACATCGGGACGCCCGAGCACCAATTAGTATTGCAGTAGACGCATTCGACTCAGCAATCGGATGAGTCTTACAACAATGGGTTAACAACTCCTGGCAACCTTTGGCATTTTTCTCTAGACGGTTGCTAGACACCGAATCGAGGTACAACACATTCGGTAGGGAACTCCTAGCTATGTATTATGCTGTACGACATTTTCAAAACTACATTGAAGGCCGTGAATTCACCCTTTTCACTGACCATAAACCTCTTACTTTCTCGTTAAGCTCCTCTTCAGACAGGTATTCACCTCGTGAGTCTCGACAACTGGACTACATTTCGCAGTTTTTTTACTTCAGATATTCAACACATTTCTGGAGCAAACAACGTAGTCGCAGACGCCTTATCCCGCATAACTTCCTTGAACAGTTTCCAAGGAATCGACCTTCTTAAACTCGCCCAGCTTCAAAAAGAAGACACTGATCTTCAGCACGAGTTATCGTCTACAACCCTCAAACTACGCATCAAACAGATGAGAACAGGTAGGGAAGCCTTACTGTGTGACACATCTACATGTAGGGATCGCCCAATCGTGCCGAAACGTTATCGACGCAACGTCTTCAATACGTTGCACAAACTTTCGCATCCAGGCGTTCGTGCAACCATCAAGCTTATAGCAGAACGGTTTTGCTGGCCTGGCATGAATAAAGACGTGAGGGAGTGGGCACGCTCCTGTGTAAGCTGCCAAAAATCTAAGGTTACCAGATACAATAAATGTCCCTTAGGCTCATTTAAAACTCCCGATGCTCGTTTCGACCATGTTCACCTGGATTTGGTAGGACCTTTACCAGATTCAAATGGATACTCTTATCTCTTAACCTGCGTAGACCATTTCAGTCGATGGCCAGAAGCAGTACCTATCAAGGACATCACTGCTGAAACAGTGGCCCGCACCTTCGTCGAACGATGGGTAGCAAACTTCGGCTGCCCTTCAACCATCACTACAGATCGCGGACGTCAGTTTGAATCTGAACTTTTCCGTCGCCTGACCACACTTTTAGGAATCACTCGCTTCCGAACGACCGCCTACCACCCACAGGCAAACGGGTTGGTAGAACGTTTTCACCGACAACTAAGAGCTTCACTATCAGCTGCAAACGTTTCACAGTGGACCGACGTTCTTCCACTCGTTTTACTAGGTATCCGCGATGCAGTGAAAGCTAACATTGAATACACTGCAGCTCAACTCGTTTATGGAACGACACTTCGACTTCCAGGAGAATTCGTGGATCCTGCATCCTCTTCAATGAGCATGGATGTAACTTCCTACACAAATAGGCTTACAAACGCAATGCGTTCAGTTAAACCTGCTTCCACTCGACCACAATCAACCGATGTTTTCGTTCAACCTGACTTACGACATAGTACACACGTTTTCGTTCGTCGAGACTCGCATCGACGACCATTCGAATCAGCATACGAAGGACCTTTCAAAGTTCCTCAACGTGAATCTAAGTACTATATAGTCGAAAAGAACAGAACAAACGATAGCATCAGCATCGATCGCTTAAAAGCAGCGTAGTTAGAAGGAAATCCTATTCATATCGATTTTCCTTCGGTACAATCGAACGACACGACTCCTACACTCATAATTCCTCAACCGACAACCAACACTAGCGATGACACTCCGAATGTGTCTGAAAATAAACTTAAAACGACGCGTTCTGGAAGAAGAGTAAGATTTCCAGAACATTTAAACGACTACTGCACGTAAGGCACTACTCGAAATTTTATA